AAGGAAGGAAGGAAGGAAGGAAGGAAGGAAGGAAGGAAGGAAGGAAGGAAGGAAGGGACCATACTTTATGAATAGAAAGCTATCTGGAAGGATAGGACTGGGATAGCATATATCTTAATTGCCTATGACATAATGGTTCTTCCATGCATGTGCTTGTGCCTAGGTGTGTTTCAGTAGGCCAGGACTTGCCACAGCAGTTTTTATTTTCTTGGCATCTGATGGCCTGGCCCTTGGGGAGCATCAGCGGCCAACAGTGACCCTTTACCTGATTGATGTCAATGGAGGAAACCACTCTCTTGGTGAGTATGAGAATTATATCTTCAGAGCCACTAGTCTATCTCTGATATTGTTTGGAGAGGTACCTGCATCGCACAGCTATTGAGTAGATAAAATGAACACTAGACATGGAAACATGGTTCTAGATGAATGCCTCTAAAATATTATTCATGTCCTTATGCCTCTCCAGGAACCCATGAACTGTCCTGCCAGCACAATCCACTGGTTATTAATGTGACCCATCATGCAAATACCCTCTTCAACCAAACCACCTCCATGTTGCTAAATTTCTCATCCCCATTGGTGGGCATCTCAGCAGTGGCTCTGAGGACAGTAGAGGGTATCAGTCCTTCAGCTCCCATTGACTGCATTTCAGAGCAAGATCATCTGGAACAGAGGTACAAAGTCTCCTCTCTTCCTTACCTCTCTTTTTCTTGTAGCTATGATACCCTGATACTTCTTAGGTATGTAATATCTATAATCAGTGGCTGCTTAATTATGAAAATATGGACACAGAAGCTATTAAAAACTCAGGGCTGGGCACTGGTGGCTCATACCTGTAATACTAGCTACTCAGGAGGCTGAGATCTGAGGATTGTGATTCAAAGCCAGCAGGAAAATCCATGAAGACTCTTATCTCCAATTTACCACCAGAAAACCTGAAGTGGCACTGTGGCTCAAGTGGTAGAGCTGTGACCTACCTCAGCTGAAGAGCTGAGGGACAGCGCCCAGGCCCAGGGTTCAAGCCCCATAACCAACCAAAAAATAAAAAGCCTTAGGGCAGAAACATCCCCCAAAACCTCTTATCTCCAATTAACCACTCAAAAACTGGAAGTGGTGCTGTGGCTTAATTGGTAGAGTACCCTTGAGCACAAAGAGGCTCAAGGACAGTGCCCAGGCCCTGAATTCAAGCCCCACAATCAACAACAACAACAAAATATCTTAGGAAGCAAGCAAACAATAACTTGGAGAAGCATCATTTTGTATTTTATGTTTCTCTTCTTTTCTTAGCTGTGCATAATTTTATGTAAATATTTAACATCCTACAAGGTCTTAACATCTTTTTTACATAAAACCACTGACTTCAAATCAACATTGTTATATAAACTGCCAAAAATCCTCTGCCAAAAACTCAATGTTCCCTGAGCAATGTACATTTTTCCACTTGTTCCCACCTGGACAGTGTATAGAGCAAATTTAACAATTATTTGTCAAGTCATGTCATGTGTCCATTGAAGATTACATATGGAAATAGAGAATATTTCAACCACATGCATCTTTCTGTTGACATTTGTGATTGCGATTGTCTAGGCAGATAAAGGTCCCTTGTCTAGCTAGAAGGTTGGTGTGTCCAAGATTGGAGACAGGGAACAGTTTGAACTCAACCGTGCATGCTGAAGTTCAAGTAGAATCATCCTAGGGTTTAATCAAGTAAATGGAACCAAAGTAACAGGTTTATTATTTCTGGGAGGGCAATAAGACCACTGGCTTATTACAAGTGGTCAGGAATGTGATCACAAAAGCTTATTTATACCAGAAAATACACCAGAACCCCATCTCTGAGAGGGAGATGGAGATAGTGCTATTAGAGCATACTACATATCTCTCGCTATAAAGAAAATGATACCAAATTTAGTGATTTAACACAACAAATGGTACTTCAAAGTTCCTGTGTTCACCTGATGCATCTAGACGCACCTTGGTTGAGTGACTTAGACTTAGGATCTCTTCTGAACTTTCAATCACTCTCAAGAGGGGTTGGAGAACTTCCTCTTAAGCTTATCTGTGTGGCTGGTGGTATGTCAGGAGGTCCACATCCAGGTTCACCCTCAGAGGTGTTGGTAGTGAGCATACTCACATAGGTGTATCTCAGTTCCTTGCCATGTGGGCCTCTCTATAAGGTATTCAAACATCTTAGATGTGATAGCTAATGATCCAAGGGCAAATGGGAACCTGAAATTGTGAAGATATTGTAGACTTCCCAAGAGGGAAACCAAAATCTTTTCATAATGTAATGTTTATAGGGAAAGTAACTTACTATTTTTGGCATATTCCTCTCATACCACATGCTTCATTGATATCACTCTTGGGTATTTAGCCAAAAGATTGCATGTCTGGATACAATAGGGCATCTGCACACCTATGTTCATTGCTATCATTGCTGCACAATTCATCATGTCCAAGTTATAGAAACCATCCAAAATGGTTCAAGAAAATGTGATATGTATGTGTGTGTGTGATCTACTGATCTTTATCTAAAATGAGCAGAAACACACAGTATATATATATATATATGTATGTATGTATAATATATATATGTACACATATATACATATATGTATATATTTTATACATATAGATGTGTATATATGTATATATATATATATGTTGAATTGTCCATGCAAATTAGCATATTGAATTGAAATCCCTTGTATAACTAACTACAACTATCTAAGGATATACAACTCCTCCTCTTCCTCCTCCTCCTCAGGTAATAAACAAATCCAGCCTATTCTCAGTGGAAGCATTTTTCATAAGGACACAATCCACTGGGTTTCCTTAGAAACTATCCACCAACTGCAGAAACGTTGTTTTCTTGAATTGAGCACTAGCTAGATGCTGATATTGTGCTAAGAGCCAGGAAAAGAGAAAAGGGAAGGGATTACATCTGGATACTGGACATTGTGACAACTGGGTCTGCTTAGTGAGAAAATACCCCCATCATTAACATGAGAATGCAGAATGAGAAAGTCAAAATCCCAGTGCTTATGAGAATTATAGCCGCTTCCTGATGTCTTTTCCAATTAGCGTTTGTACTGACTCTACATCTAGCCTTAAACCAGACAGAATTTCTTTCTGCTCCCTGTAGCCTGTGTTCTTCATGAATTATGTACATAATGTTCTTAGCTTTCTGAATGTGTCCAGTCCTCTTTCACTAAACTCTTCCTCATCCATCAGGAACCACCTTCTGTGAAGTTCTGGCAAACTCTTTTACTGTTGCTGTAGGATGTAATACACAATCCAAACTGTACAAAGTGGCTAACCTGCTGAGTAATAATTATTCATTTACTTGTTGTACACTTATCAAACTCCAAGCTCCTTTTGTGGAGTGGGGAGTTCTTCTCTGTATCTCCTAGGGCTAAGCAAGGGGCCTGGCACATGGTTAGATAACAGAAACTATGTGTGGAAGGGCAGATGTTGACTTTATCTTTTAATGTGGAACAGAACTGAACAAGAAAACCAATGAAGTAGAAGTCTTAGCCTCTCTCACTGTAAGGGAAAAGAATTCTCCTCACGATCAGATCACAGTTGTGAAATTTCAACCAAGAAGTTGATTAATTGTGAGCACTACTGCTAGTTCTTCACTTGTTTTCATGTGGCACTGTGGGAAAACAAGTTTTATATGCATGCATGCAAACCAGTGGAAATAGGATATGATTCTCCAGTTTACAGAGTCGATCTGGAATGCATAAGTATTTCCAAACCACATGTGACTGACAGGAGCCATGCAAATTGGATTTTCCTTCTCAGCTAGCAGATTGGTGCAAAATAGTAAAAATTTATACACAGAAAACCCAATAGATCTCATATATTTTTGTCATGAATATATTTTAATCCTTACAAAATTTTCAAAAATAGAAGTCTTTTTGCAGTCTTGGGGCAATCACTGTTTTATGTGTAGATACACTATAATATGAAACCCTTCGTCTTACCCTTTATGATCTAAATTCCATTAGTACTTCCACAGACAGGAGAGAGCTGACCAATGTCTAGTGGTCACTGAATTATCCATTTTGTATTTAACTCTTGATGACCATTCCCCATCCTTTCTACAATACATCTTTAACCAGATTAGTGCACAGTAAGCCAATAAATCCAACTCTATCCCTCCAGTGTTATCCATGACATTTGACTCAGTCAGACCAAGTAATTTCTTCTTGCTTCCTACTGAAATATCAACAATATAGAAAAATATGCAAAGTCTTACCAAAACGAGACCTAAATCTGACCCTCAGAGTTATGCTGGATTTCCTTCTGATTATCAGAAAAAAATGTATGTGATGTAAGTTAGGAAACATCCTTGGATACAAAAACATATGCTTGTTGCTTTCTGGGAAACAATCAACACATCAGCTAAGGAACAGAGTTATACTTAAAGACAAGTGGGGAACAAGTCAGTGTTTCCCCATCCACTGCCCCTTTGACTGCTGTTAGATGAACAGTAGTTTCATTCATTACAGTGGAAATTGGAGTCAAGTGCAGGGAGAAGAAAAAAATTTTGGGAGCTGGAAATGTGGCTTAGTGGTAGAGTGCTTGCCTAGCCTGCAGGAAGCCCTGGGTTCAGTTCCTCAGTACCACATAAACAGAAGTAGCTCTGTGGCTCAAGTGGTAGAGTGCTAGCCTTGAGCAAAAGAGGTTTAGGGACAATGCCCACACCCTGAGTTTAAGCCATAGGACTTGCAAAAAAAGGAAAAGAAAGAAAAAAAGGAAAGAAAAGTAAAGAAAAATATTTTGGAGTTGGACCATTTTGAAACAGTTTCTGTATCTAAATAGAGTATATGTAATTAAGAATTGTGACCTGAGAAATAGGTCAGATATGCAGAAACTTAGAAGCAAAGCAAGGGAGAAAAGAAGGAAAGAAGAAGCATTCCTTTCTCTGTGGTGTATCTCTCTTAGTCTTGTTTCTCATTCTGTTATAATGACTGCCCAGTTTTTGACTCTTTGGGCTTAATCTACTGATTATTAGTTGGGAAGGTCAAGTTTAGTCTTATTGGTTTAGGCCATGAGTGGTCAACATGAGCCCAGATCAATTCTTACTCACCCATGGGTTTGAGCTCTGTCCACTCTAGAGAAAAGTCACACACACACAGCCCATAGCCTCAGGACCAGGCTGACCTCAGCTTTCCTAGGACCATGTTGATGAATTTGGGAGGTGAAGCTATCTTTGCATTCCCTGTAATGAGATTCAGAGTGTGTCTAAGAAAGAATCCAGGCACATATGTTAATTTGTCTAAATGAATAGATTAGCTTGCAGACAATAAGGACTCTTTATTTACAACTTTGGAAACTTGCAAGGTCAAATCTGGAAAGAATTTACTAGTAAGACAAGAATTGTTGGGCGGGATTTTGTTTTTCCAGACACAAGGATAGCGTATAAATATTGACTGTAACTTCTATAACCCTACGTGATGGCATATCCGTACAGTACCCAGTACAGGATTTCTGGAGATAGAGTACATTATGCCCTTCTCCAGTACATGAATTGATAGAAGTGATTGAAACTTTCGAATGCCTACTGTTTTATGGCGTTGTGTTTTCCCTTCTGTTTAACTAAAATTTTTTTCTATTCAACTGCTTTATAAAAGGTGAAAATGTGATATAAACCTCCCAATCAGTT